GAAAGAACGAAAGAAAGAACGAAAGAAAGAACGAAAGAAAGAACGAAGTAATCATGCAAATTTTAAAATTACACTCAGCTGAGGAGGACTTAGTCAAATTCTATCCAGCAGCAGAAGCCCAGGCTATCCGCACTGACTGTATTCCACCACAAGATGGAGCTCAGGACTTCTAAACAAGTTCAGAATGGGAGTCAGAAGAGGAGCAGAGCAGAAAAGTACCTGCTGGTGGCAATGGACACTGGAGATGTTAAAAGAAAGAAGAGAGGACAAGAACAAAGAAACTGGAACTGGTTGGGCATGAAAAAAAGGGCTGGGGTCAAAGTTGAGGCAAAAACCAGGGAATGCCAGGAGTAAAATGGGACACCAACTGGAGCAGGAAGAATCTCCAGTGGTGGCAAGAGGCACGGGGGATTTTAGAAATGAGAAGAAGGTAGAATGGGAGGTAGAGGAAGGACAGAGACTTTAGGACTGAGTGTGGGAGTGGAAACATGAGGGGAAAAGTCTTGCAAGCAAGCAAGCCACAGAACAGAAATTCTGTAACAAACACTGTTAAAAGTTAAGAGATAACAAGGTGTAGAGCTGGATGAACACAGCAGGCCAAGCAGCATCATAGGAGCAGGAAGGCTGACGTTTCGGTCATCATTCCATTTCTGATGAAGGGTCTAGGCCCGAAACGTCAGCCTTCCTGCTCCTCTGATGCTGCTTGGCCTGCTATGTTCATCCAGCTCTACACCTTGTTATCTCAGATTTTCCAGCATCTGCAGTTCCTACTATCTCTGATTCAATGTTAAAGTTAAACTCACAACATTAAATGGATATACTGTCACTATTTAAGTAATGGCATTCAAGTGAAACATGTTAATTGGGTCAAGATTAAATAGGGACTTTCTGTAAAGGCAAAATACTGAAGATGTTGGAAATCAAAAACAAAAACAGTAAATGCTGGAAATATTAAGTCAGATAGTATCTGTGCAGAGAGAAAGAATGGTAATGTTTCAGGTCAATGACCTTTTTTTCAAAACCTATGTAGCTTTCCAAGTGTCTGAAGATCTCCATTGGAACTAAGAACAATTCACAATCGGTGTCAAGCTTGTAGAACCAAGACGATTTTGATATTTGTGTGTTATATGTTATTTCAATTTCTTGCTTTTCTCAATTCCAGAAGCTTATGCCTTAGCAAATAAAAGACCAGATCTTCTTCATAATTTATAATGTGTTCTTGGTAACTGACCTGATTAAGATATAACAGTCTTTTCTAACACCATCAGAAACAATTCTGAGCAACAGCTTCACCCAAGAGGAAGACAAAATAGGATTAGTCATATATCACATGTCACGTTGTTGGGCAATAGTACTGGTCTTCATAGGAATGCTTAATGTAATCAAGCCAACATTTTCTGAGGCAAGTGCTGGGATGAAGAGGAAATTATTATTTTTTCACTCGAAAATTAAATAAAAATTATTTTGTCATTCACCAATTTAAAAATTTTACCTGGCAATTTCCCCTGAATCGCCATCTCATCAAAGTCATTTGGAAACTTCATTCCATAAGAGATTCTTTCACCATTAGTAATCAGATCATATAAAAGCAATCCAAAAGAATAAACATCAGCCTGATGGTTATAAATGACATTTCCTTGAGCAACTTCTGGTGCTCGAAATCCTAGCAAACAAAAAGTAATCATATCAATTCAGAAACAATTAATCAAACTATTATAAAAATATTAGGATTTTGTCTGATTGTAATACTGGTCAAAATCAGATCCCATAGTAAAAACTAGCTTCATAATCATAGCTAATGAGATGACAAGGTGTAGAGCTGGATGAACAGAGCAGGCCAAGCAACATCAGAAGAGCAGGAAAGCTGACATTTCGGGTCTGGACCCTTCTTCAGAAATGGCAGTTCCTACTATCTCATAATCATAGGTTTTGCTTTTGCAGTTGATGACCATGGTGGTTAGTCACTGAACAAATTTATATGATGCTGTCACTACTCTTTAACAAAAAAAATACAAAAAGAAGAAAAAAACAAAAAAAAAACTTTAAAAACAGTTTAGAAGCATCTTTACTGAAAACAGAAAAACTGAGTTTCAACCTGTTATCCAGCAATATCCTTTACACATACTCATTCCCAATGAAATGCCCTTCCACTAGTATAAATTTGTTCTTAAATCTGAAATTTCTAAAATGAACTCAAAAAACTCAGGGCCTCTGGTCTGTTTTCTTGTATGGCACAGAAGTTCAATTGTGCAAACGTTTCATCAATTAACATCACAGATATCCTCCTGAGTACTGGATTGAATGAACTTGTCTTGGAAATTATGTCTCTCGTTCACTGTTCCAAACGACTTTGACCTCCTAAAGAAAAAACATTTACCTTCACAGAACTGAAACCACATATCTATTTGACCTCTATTTTAAAATTCAAGTTTCCAAAATAAATATAATACACCTTTATGACAGTGTTTATTTACCATTCCTCTAAAATCATAGGTGCACAAATTTAGCATCTGAAGTCAGTTTGGGCTACTGAATTCACTCCAGTGTTTTACTGTCATTCTCATTTTCAACTTCTCTACATAATACATTTTCCACAAAGCTACTAGCTCCATTTTAACATTTCAGGTGTTTTATTGATTGCAGAAATACTACAAGTGATTTTTCACTTACTCAATATTCATTGGCTTTTTAAAGATATAACACAAATAGTCTAATGTGAAATGTATTTGTCAATTCCAATATAATCTGTTGCATGCAGAATGTCATAATTCAAACTTGGCATCTAATTTAGAGTTAATTGACAGTGGGTTAGAAAAATGACTAATATGAGAAGCAGAAATAATCTCTTTGCAGGGTCAAGAGCAATTTGTTTCTAAACAAAAAGGGTGAATAGAGATATGGCAGGGTAAACAAATAATGGAAATTTGTTATCTAAATATTGTCTAGCAGTACTTGATCACCATAAAATGCCTAAAATTAGAGAAATATTCTGAATTTTAGCTTTAAATGCGAGTTGATCTTTATTTCTTTCACTAATCTATTTTGATTTGATGACATAATCCAAGAAATAAAGGGCACAGGCAAAATAAAACAACATATAATCTTCACAAAACCTTGATTTATACAGGACATTGGATTTATTGGTACAGGTAAAAACAGTTGACTGGGTGAAATACTCTACCCACAAACTTGTCCTTTAAATCAAGTCACACTTTCTTAGTTACAACACGATGTGGCATACAGGGGGCCAGAAACATTTCAGAAGAGAACCATTTGATCTGTATTCAGTTTAAAAGCGCTCAGGTTGCCAGATCAGATGAACAGAACTGTTTTTTCCCATTTTGGAAAAACACAGACATGGAGGACATATTATTGAAAATAATTACAGGATTAGATTTAAGTGAATAAGTTGATTGAGTTAGACAGGTTGGGTAGGAGAATGATTGAACCTACACTTTAAATTTTGAATGCACAACACTAGGTTAGGAATGAGGAAATGCCTTTTCTCCTGCAGTCACGAAACTCTCAAATAGGTCGCCAATAATTGCAGTGAATGCAGATTCACAGTATGTGTTCAAGGGAAAGTTGCAAGTATGCCAGGAGTGGCAAACATCTCTGTATATAGAAAGTAAGTGGGTCTTTGAGGCTTGATCAATTCATTGTGGCTTCCTGAAATTTTCTTGATCAGGTGTCAGAGACGAATTTAGCATATATTTTCGTCAACTGATCAAAGTTGTTTTTATTTTCATCCTTCTCAGGAGTTTGTATCGCTGTATGGGAGTAGCAATGTGGGGCAGGATGGTAGTATGTGTCATCTGGAAATCACATCATGCTAAGATGGGACATGTCTGACATGCTCGTTTTTGCCCACCCTTTTCAGATGTTTATTTTATAGCTTGTTGCTGACAAATATAAGTAGTAGGTAAACCCCCAATTATGGATAGAGTTTTGGCTCAATGGCAAACAAGCTACATTTTACTAACATAGAGACATAAACACTAAATTAAAGACAGTTGATAATTTTCTAATAAAACATGCTTCAGTGGATCATTTTCTGTATAAACTTTTAAGTTTCTACCTGGTGTGCCCTCAGAGCTCTTGATTCCCATTCTGCAGCAGTACTGAGCAATACCATAATCAGCAATTTTGGCAATTATAGCAGAGTTAGGATTCAAACTGAATAGCAGTACATTGTGAGGCTTCAAATCCCTATAAATTATCATTGATGAATGCAGATATCTGTCAAAAGATATAACATATTAACAGTCAAGGGAAAATATAAGCATTTTACAAAATTTATACTTGGAAGTGATAAAGCAATAATCTTACCAATAGCTTTCTCATGATTAATTACTGCATGGAAATCTATGATTTCTATTCATTACCTGAATCTCAGCCTAAGATTAAGCTAAAATGCAGAAGTCACTTCAGGTGATTAATTATCATATTATGAAGCTTCAGGAATTTATTGCTGAGATGTAATTCTGTAAAAACTTGTAACAATATAAAGCTTGCAACAGTAAAATGTTTCTGTAAAAGATGACATTATTCTTACGATTAATTGTTGAGGTGCAATTAATGTAGATTTACCACGAAACAATCTTGAGCTATTTTAGTTCCATATCTAGTATATGGTCACTGTATACCATTTATTATTGTATTGTGTAGACAGAAATGATTTAAAAAAAAGGTTTTCTAGATGTTAACTTTACTCTAAATGAAATAACATGAAATGATCAACATGAGATTAAGTAATAACAATAGAAATGACTTGATAATGACATTCAGTAACATACTATTTAATTAGTGCTTCATACTTCTACAATTTGCATTTTTATACCACTACTCACCTCCATAAGAACATTAAAAAAGTGCTTTCCAGGATTAAAGAAAAATCTATCAATTTGCAGCAGCAGGAAAAACAGTGATTAGTAGAAAGTACAGTCAAAAATCAAGACTTTCAGAGGGTTTCTGAAAGCAGAGAGGAGGCAAAGCAGATCTACGCTCCTGGGCCATTGTCTCATTATAAAGAATTACATTTATTCTACAAATGGACAGACCATTCTACGTGAGCAACATCACAAATAGCTCTGAAAGAAAACATCAGTCTGTCAGATATACAGATTTTTCTGCTAGCATTTGTTGTAGAGCCGAGTCTTTTGTTGTAAAACAGTCTGGAATTGTTTTCTTTAAACAATGCCAAAAATAAATAACTTCTTCAAAAGTAAGTTAAAACTTGCTAAAAATGTTACTTTCCCTCAGATTTCTTGTTTCTATTAAGAATAATGCCTGACGTTAACAATCATGGGTTTGTAATAGCTAAGATTCATAATTTAAGTTTGCTTACTGACAGACATAAAATAAGATTCAATATTACAATTAAAAGTTTGGATTTATCCTCCAAAATCTGTTGGTGCTAATTTCAACAAGCTGCAGTGTACTGAATTATAGCTACCTTAAGCCATCAGCCACATGTAAAGCAATCCGGTGTCGAAGTGGTTGAGTAAGGTGGTCTTTCTCTTTGTTAAACAAGATATCCAGCGAACCTTTGGGTGCCAATTCCATCACCAACATCCGCGGTCGAAAGTCAGCCGCCAAGAGAGAGACCAAACTGGGATGATGCAAATAACTAAGAATTGCAAGTTCCTGAATATAATAGAATTGAAGTTTATTAATTTTCTACAGGCAAGAATAGTGGGGTAGTTTCAATGTTGGGTATAATTGACAATTAAGTGTTACTTTCACTCAAAATTTAAGTTGTCTTTTTTTAAGAAGTATTCTTTATCTCAATTTTTCACTCAAACTCACTTCATTAAATTTAAGATCTGCCATGAACTATGGCCTTCAAGCACAGAAAAGGCTTCTGTCTTAGTACATCTGTAAAATGATCTTGGGATACAAATGTAACATGTGACACTAACAAGCAGACTGTGTGATGGAGATACAATGAAGAGCAGGTTTCAGACATATTCAATCATGTCAGTAACTCGTAAAGATTGCTTCCAAGTATGAACATATTTTTAAAATCAAGGCAGTGACATACTCCATGGCTTTCACTTTTTCAATGAAACAATATAAAATTGTAAATTACAATTCAAGTAATTTGAAATAAAATTATGAATAACCAGTACTTGAGGATTTTTTTTAAGTCCACATGATGATTACACATTGAAAGGTGAGCACTTTAATGCATTGCTATTGCCATAATAGCTCTGGATCACGTGTTATGCAAAAACAATTGGTAAGTAGTGTGTGACATAATTGATGGGAGATAGATGTACAATCCTGATGAAACAATGATTACTGTCAGTCTTTAATGCCTCCAATCTTCAAAGAAGGGACTACTAGTAAAAGACTAGTCAAATGAGACTATTAATTTCTCTTTGTATTAACTTACCAGTGAGAAGGATGATGTGATTTAGAAATCAGGGCAAAGGGCTATGAGTTGCTTAAAGAAGTTAGCCAGATAGAGAAGGAGGTTTTGAGTAGTCTGCCAGGCTTAAAATTAGATACATCTCCAGAACTGGATAAAATTCCAGTCTGTTAAGCGAGGCAATGGAGGAAATAGCAGGGGTACTGACAATAATTTTCAATTCCTCTCTAGCCACAGGAAAAGCGCCAAAGATCTGGAGGACAGCCAATGTGGTGCCATTATTCAAGAATGGAGCAAGGGACAACTTAGGAAACTACAGACCAGTCAGTCTAACCTCAGTGGTGAGGAAAAATAGGAAGCAATTCTGAGGGACAAAATTAATCAAGAACAGTCAGCATGCTTTTCTTAAAGGGAGATCTGACCAACTTGATTTAATTTTTCAAAAGGGTGACCAGGTGTGTAGATGAGGGTAATGCTTCGATGTTATCTACTTGGACTTCAGAAAGGCTTTCGATAAGGTTCTGGATGGAAAACTGATAATGAAGGTAACAGCCCATGTGATCCAAGGAAATCTGGCTAATTGGATTCAGAATTGGCTGAGCAGCACAAAATAGATAGTGATGGGCAAGGGGTGTTTTTGTGGCAGGAAGCCGATGTCCAATAGGGTTACGCAGGGATCAATGTTGGGGCCCATGCTAATTGTGGTATATATAAATATTTTACATTTGAATGAAAGGAGAGTTGATAAGTAAGTTAGCAAATGATATGAAAATTGGTAGGGTAGTAAAGCGTGAGGAGGCTAGCCTTTGACGATAAGAGGATATAGATGAGCTGATCAGTCACTAATGGAATTCAGTTCAGGTATGTGTGACGTTAGCACCAGGGCAGGGCAAAAAAGGCATGGAAATACTTGCCTAGAGAGCAGGACTCTTGGAAGTACCAAGGCTCAGAGGAACCTTGGTATACATGTCCACTGGTCCCTTAAAGTAGCAGGAGAAGTAGATATAGTGGTCAAGAAGGCATATGGGATACTTGCCTTTATTGTCCAAGGTATAGAGTTTAACAGCTGGGAAGTTACGCTGAAATGGTATAAAAAGGTTGGTTAGGCCACAGTTAGAGTTTGTGTGCAGTTCCAGAATTCACATTATAGGAGGGATATGATAGCACTAGACAACGTGAAAAGGAGATTTACCAGCACTTGGCTGGAGATTTTCAGTTATGAAGGAATATAGGATAGGCTGAGGTTTTTCTTTGGACTAGAAGTGATTGGGAAGGAGAAATGATTGAGATGTATAAGATTATGAGGGGCAAAGATAGAAGGGGCAGGAGGTTTAGAGGAGATCAGAGGATAATTTTTTTTTCCACTCAGAGGGTGGTGGCAATCCGGAACTCTCAGTCTGTAAGGGTGAGGCAGAAACCCTCATAACGTTTAATTAGTGTTTAGATGTAAGCCTCCGTATCACAAGTGCACAAAGTTTTGTGAAGGGTAGGTCGTGCCTCACAAACCTTATTGAGTTCTTCGAGAAGGTGACCAAACAGGTGGATGAGGGTAAAGCGGTTGATGTGGTGTATATGGATTTCAGTAAAACGTTTGATAAGGTTCCCCATGGTAGGCTATTGCAGAAAATATGGAGGCATGGGATTGAGGGTGATTTAGCGGTTTGGATCAGAAATTGGCTAGCTGTAAGAAGACAGAGGGTGGTGGTTGATGGGAAATGTACATCCTGGAGTTCAGTTACTAGTGGTGTACCTCAAGGATCTGTTTTGGGGCCAATGCTGTTTGTCATTTTTATAAATGACCTGGATGAGGGCGCAGAAGGATGGGTTAGTAAATTTGCGGATGACACCAAAGTCGGTGGAGTTGTGGATAGTGCAGAAGGATGTTGCAGGTTACAGAGGGACATAGATAAGCTGCAGAGCTGGGCTGAGAGGTGGCAAATGGAGTTTAATGCGGAAAAGTGTGAGGTGATTCACTTTGGAAGGAGTAACAGGAATACAGAGTACTGGGCTAATGGTAAGATTCTTGGTAGTGTGGATGAGCAGAGAGATCTCGGTGTCCATGTGCATAGATCACTGAAAGTTGCCACCCAGGTTGATAGCGTTGTTAAGAAGGCGTACAGTATGTTAGGTTTTATTGGTAGAGGGATTGAGTTTTGGAGCCATGAGGTCATGTTGCAGCTGTACAAAACTATGGTGCGGCCGCACTTGGAGTATTGCGTACAGTTCTGGTCACCGCATTATAGGAAGGATGTGGAAGCATTGGAAAGGGTGCAGAGGAGATTTACCAGGATGTTGCCTGGTATGGAGGGAAGGTCTTATGAGGAAAGGCTGAGGGTCTTGAGGCTGTTTTCGTTAGAGAGAAGAAGGTTAAGAGGTGACTTGATAGAGACACACAAGATCATCAGAGGATTAGACAGGGTGGACAGTGGGAGCCTTTTTCCTCGGATGGTGATGGCTAGCACGAGGGGACATAGCTTTAAATTGAGGGGTGATAGATATAGGACAGATGTCAGAGGTAGGTTCTTTACTCAGAGAGTAGTAAGGGCGTGGAATGCCCTGCCTGCAAAAATAGTAGACTCGCCAACTTTAAGGGCATTTAAATGGTCATTGGATAAACATATGGATGATAATGGAATAGTTTAGGTTAGATGGGCTTCAGATTGGTTTCACAGGTCGGCGCAACATCGAGGGCCGAAGGGCCTGTACTGCGCTGTAATGTTCTATGTTCTACGTTCTATGTTCTAAGTCATGGTCCATAAGGAGCTATGTTGGGAATTCCACTGGCAATTAGAAGACATCAAGGAACAGAAACGTTGGTGCCAGTTAGGTATTGTGTGAATACTCACAGTATTACATTGCAGTGAAGGAGAGCTGAAGTGAAGTACCTTCGTAGAAGCAAAAAAAATTAAGTCAAGTGGTCAGCAATTTAAATTTTTGTGTGTACTTTACAATGAAAGTACTCTCCCTACAATTTCTATGAAGCACAAAGGTGCACTATGAAATGCAAGTTTTATTACATACTTGTCTCAGAAGACGATGTAGATGCATTTGTGACACATGTTTATTAAAAATTTTAACAGCCACTTCTTCACACTTGTAAGTTGCCCGATAGACAGATGCAAAACCTCCATCACCTTTAAAAGAAAATAAGGAAGCTGAAGTTCACATTTTTGCAAAAAAATTATGCATGCAAATTTTTCATATCAATATTTTGATAACTTTTAATAATCAATTCCATGAAAAACCGAATTAGATATGTATTTGAGAAGGTGATCAAATTCAGGATTAGTGTCTTAATAGAATAGAAATCTCTTATTGTCTGAAGAACGTATTTCTCAAAGCAAACTTAGTTGTCAGATCAGCCTGTTCGAATTATCGCCGGTGCAATAGGTTCTGACTAATTGCAGTGCAAGCGTATTCAATAAATCTTATTATTAGTGCAAGTTAGATCAAAAATGATCAGTTGACGTTTCCTGTAAGGAAATGTAGGACAGGCTACATCCATTGAAGTTTAGAAGAATATAAGATGATTGTATTGAGTCATCGAAGATCCTAAGGGATATTTCATTTTGTGAGAGACTAGAACTAGGGAACATAATTTAAAAATAAGGGGTCTCCCACTTAAGGCAGGGGTGAGCAGAATGTTTTGCTGATAGCATTGCAAGTCTTCGGAACGCAATTTCCCAGACAGCAATGGAGGCAGAGTCCTTTAACATTTTTAAGGCAAAACTGGATAGATTCCTAACTAACAAGGGAATCAAAGCTTACCGTATATAGCAGGAATGTGGGGCTGAGGCTACAATCACAACAGTTAGGATCTTATCGATTGGTGCAGTGGGCTTAAGAGGCCAGAAGCCGACTCCTGTTCCTCATTCACGTGTTCATATGTACATATATAAATCAATATATTTACTGATTGCATTAATAACCATTTCACCATTTACATTATTTAGCAATTTTACAGCAGAAAGATAAAACAATAAAATAACTGGAATTAGATTTTACCCAGCAAAACATCAGGTGTTTGTTCAAGCTCAAGGTGATTAACATCCAGCATAATATGTCTGGGTAGATCAACGAGCACAAGGTCTGGAGCAACTCGTGAAATAGAAACCTTGTTGCTTCTATCTGTAGGACAAGTCAAAAAATCCCCTACAGAAGAAACATAAAAAAATCTAAATATAGTAAAGTATACCTATTGTTGCCTTAAATAATGACATTTCTTGCTGTTACTACAGTGGTTCTTGCAAGGGTACAATTGAGAATAGGTATTTGAACGATGAGTACAGAAATACTCACATAAACAAATCTCAGTTATTTGTTTTCAAAATAAATAATTCCTATTTAACAGACAGTTTAAAGTAAAACTCTGCAATTTTATCAAAGCACTTGAGTGCCGATTATCAATTTGAGATCCAAACGGTTTAAAACTGGAATACTATAATGTCATAGTACAGTTAATCAAACTGGCTGAGCAGGGGTAGAAAAGGCAGAGTAAAATCCAAGCACCTATAGCAAAATGCGTCAGCCTTTTCTCCCACACTTCATAAACTTCACTACAGCAGAGGAAAAGAACACTCATGCTACCTTCTCTTCTTGTGAAATGCTTGCTATCCAGTACCTTTCATAATTGAATATAACGCAGTAAGCGAGCTTTAATCTGTTGACTGTAGACCATTCAGTGACATTCATAAATTGCTCTTGTTGTTTTGCACGTTGGTAGCTTGCCTGTGTAGTAGCTTCATTAAGTTTGGACCTAATCCTTGAGGCATGCTCCAGACATATTTTTAACACTCAACAGGGGAGATTTGATATCCTGGTTATCAGTAAAATGAGCAAGGCGCTTTTAAGATGAACAGTTTGTACTAATAAAGGAAGTCGCCGAAGGATTTAAAGCAGAGGATATGGCCCGGGGACATAATAAATCAATGAAATTAGGTTACATTATGGTGGATTTTTGGGGAATAATTAGAATCATGAATTGTAATAAACGGATGATGAAGACTGTCAGAAGGAGTATTGTTCAAATTCCAGATCAATGAGGTTGACATTGGTTATGGAGGAAATAATTTTTCGCAAAAAAGGGTACTACAAAATACGAAAGAAGAATCAAACAATTAAAATGAGCTCCTTCCCCCTCACCACCCTAATAATGACTTTAGTAGAGAGGAACTTATCGGTTTGACAAATCTATTAGGATTCTTTGAAGAGATATCATTCCATGTTGATAAAGTCAGCTCAATGAGAAGGGAGGCAAAAATGTCAAACGTTACTGGGGCAAAGAAGAGCAGGCAAGCTGAGGATCCCTGAGACAAGCAGAGACAGAGCTAGATTCATTGGAACTGATTAGAACTGTTTCTTGCTCTACTACAGAGAAAGGAGTTAGCTGTTTGCTGAGTCTCCAGTAAGACGTTTTCTACTTTTAAATTTTAATATGCAAAATGGTGGTAAAGTTAATTATATAAAAGGTAACATTAGTAAGTGAATAATATCAATAGACAATTAAAATTAATTAAAAATGGCAGTTCAGGTGATGTGTCACAACTTCAGCATATGGGAGCTCCTGGATAACATTGTGATCCAGAACAAACACCTTTGCACTAAATGTTTGAAGTTTGAGCAGCCTTGGGTCAACATATTTTCTGGAAGCTGAACTACAGTCACTGCAAGGCATTTGGGAGGGGTAAATTTACCTGCATTCGTTGTACCAGGAGGCAGTCAGGGTAGGTTCTTTTTGTTTGGTCAGTGGTCATGGACAAAAGGGTATGACTGAGAGTCAGGCAAGTAAGGGGTCCCAGAGGGAAAGAGTGCAAGTGTCAGCCTCTGCAATCATCCAATAGGTGAAGTTCTCTCAGCATTTTGGCACATGGTACAGTGCTTTGGAACATGAGTCACAAAAGGTTAGTATGCGGGTACAGCAGGTAATTAAGAAGGTAAATAGGATGCTGCCCTTTATTACAAGAAGAACTGACATAAAAGATAGGATGTTATGCTTCAGTTATATAAGGTCTTGGTGAGATCCCAAAACTCTGAACAATGTTGGTCTCCTTATTTAAGGAAAGTTATAAATGGATTGCAGGTTGTTCAGAGGAGGTTTGATACCTGAAATGAGCAGATTGTTTTATGAGAATTATGAGGTTAGACTCATTTCCACTAGAGTTTAGAAAAGTCAGGAGTAACTTGATTCAAGAGTATAAGATCCTGAATGATCTTGACACATGGGAAGCACGTTTCCTCTTTAGGTCAATTCAGAACAGTTGGGCACTGTTTTAAAATTATACTGATGGCCCTGAATTCTACTCTTCATCATACACTTTGTGTCTCACTTTATTAAACCTTCCAAAATTTTAAAGACTACTGTTCAGTTACAAACCCTTTCTTTTGCCTTGATAAATGAGGCCCAGCCTGCTATACATTCTTGATGTGTATTGTCTCAGTACTTCAAATAGCATGTAACTAATGGCTCGGTCTAAATTAAGTTGAGCGTAACTTCACTATGGATTCACTATCCCTGTTGAAGTAAATTCTAATGCTTGGTTTGGTTCATTAATGGCTTTAATGACTTGCAGCGTAATTTGTAATGATTTATGTATTTGTGCCCCCAGTTCTATAGGTCTCTCCAACCCATTTACATTGCTTAGAAAATAAGAATCTATGACATCTTCTTAACATGTTCAGAATTTGGAGTTGATGATCAACTGAAATCACTTGAGAAGTGCAAATTGGCAGTAAGACAATCAAATATAGTTCTTAATTAATTTTCTTCTAGAAAATTCATTCCTTTCTGATTGTCAGCCTTTTTTAAAAATTTTATTTCAAGACATCACAGGACACAGAAACCAGTGTCAGTGCTCTTCTTGGCTTGATGCAAATGAACAGTTACACAAGCTGTCATTGCTGAAAGCAACATTCCTGCAGATCTTAATAAGAAATAATTTACATTGCTCGAGATTTTACAATGTAGCAATTATCGATGAAACAATTAGATTATATTTTACATAGCACAAATTACATTATAAACTTTGCCTCAATATTGCTATAGTATATTAGCCTAAGATGTAATAATAGTACTAACGATAGTAGTACTGTATTCAACATGTTGCAAATACCATTATTTAAATACATTTTACCCAAAACACTTCATTGCTATGCAAAATGATTCTCCTGTAATTAACAACATTTATAATTTCAAATTGCTTTCATTATTATGAACACCAGCTATTGTAAAATTGAAAATGTTCCCAATGGAGTGATCTACATTTATACTATATAGGTTTGCCACAATTCAAATTTAAAATAAAAGACATATTTGATTGAGATCCTAGTATTAATGCTACTTATCAGTATTTAATAAATCAGATAGAAATAAATACCTTCTTTAGCTATATCTAGTAAGTCATCCAGTAGAATCTGCTGGCATTCTTGATCATCTTCAAAGCTGTACAAAGCATATTTCTTCAGAAGAGTGCCTCCTTCTCCGATTATATCTGTCTCCAATAGGCCTGGAAACCACTCTTCCAGCAGAGAATCAATGTGATCTACAATCTGGCCCATTAAAACGAACCCTGCTCATTTTCATGAAACAGAAAAAAGAACAACAATTTTGTGATCACAGAAGGAAAGCAGTATTTTGTTGAGTTCAAACACAACTTCTAAGGAGCTTCAAGGCACAGTGCTTTGTCTCTGATATTTGTTTGTAGTTCTTCACTTTGGACTTGAAGCTTACCAGCACAAGTAACGAGAGACATTAAGTATAACGTCAGAATCTTCATAAACTGCAGCGAAGCATTTAAAGTCACAGAAAGAGCCTAAGTGGACTCCATTTTATTTAACTTTCAATTGCAACTGCTCTCACAACATCTCAGTGAAAAACTGGATACTTCTTATACATAATGCTTACCTTTACACCAAACTACAATTGGATAAAGGTTTGTTGATGATGTGCCCCCTAAATGCCGCTCAACAAAACACAACATTCAAATGAATTATTGGAAAGCAGCAGCTCACCTTTCCTGCAGCATGGAACAGTTATTTTGAGAACACTTTCTGGTTTATTATCCAATACAGCTGAGTCTACCAGGCAGTAGGCTTCTGATGACCAGATCAGGTAGACTCCTTGTCGCCAATATGTTCTATTAGGACGTAAAGGTTTTTCTCTATCTGAAACAACATAGTTAGCCACATGCTTAAGCAAAAAAACACTATATATCATTCATTATTTATGAATTTATCATTCCCATCTACGTAGCAAAGCTTCCTAACTTTTACATTTTATTTGTTCAGTTAGCAGTTTATTGCTCTGTCTTTATTTCATTACTAGCAAGGATTAACATTATAAATTAATCCACAAATGTTAAATGATTCCAGAGTATTGGGAATTACATTCTTATGTTTTTAATTATTGAAAATAACATGGTTAGCAAGTTAGAAATATTAACAAAAGTCAATATGCTCAACATGATGGATCAAACCATATAATGAAACATTGTCAGTAAAGGAAGGAAATGCTACAGTGTGGAGAAAGTATCTTCAAAAATGTTTCAATAAATTAGTTGCACAGGCAATGCTAAAAGAAGCAATGGATTTCTGTAATAAAGAGCACCAAACATGAGAGGTTACCATCGTTCTATACTTCCAACATACAGAGCACAGAAATTCCTAGGACTGGCATTCTGTGTACAAAAGCTTATATTCTTTACCAGCAGTATACAATGGCTGCAAGTATGTGCCATCTAATGGATGCACTGCAGCCACTCACCAAACATACATCAAGAGCACTTTTTCTAGCGAGTTACATTGCCAAGCTCAAAAGAAGCACGACTGTGGGGACATCATCACCTCACACTTTTAAGATACTAACTTGTTGTATCATCGCTCCTTCAAAGGCTCATCAATATCCTGAAATTATGATATTAATCACCATAGTGATTACAACTGGACTACTCAGCTAGTTGATAATTAAACCCTTATTAGTGTCAGTGACAATACCAAAATTAGGAATTCTACCTCTCCCGTAACAAAAAAAAAGTCAACCGTGGCTAACAAATGAAGTTAATGATAGCATTATGTTAAAGAATGGCGCTTATAAAATTGCCCATAAAAAGTGGTAAGCTTGAGGATTGGGAGATTTTAGAATTCTGCAAAGGAATTAGGCAAAAAAAATTAGGCAAAATCTTCCCAACCCCTAAGCAACATGGGCAATGGTTCAGTTGGTAAAATATGAAGGGATCAAAAAAATTAGATTCTCAATATTCAATTTTTCACGCAAGGTCCTAATAGTGAGACAAAAGTTTTGTTATTGGGCAGCTACAGGTCAATTTGCATGCATTTATATCTCATTATTACCTACTCTGACCTCAATTATATATAGCTTTCTATTTTAATGGGTAGCAGAGAGAACACAGACAGCAACAATTCCTGATATTCCCCATCATCTCAGGGCACACTCAGAGGGCAGCAACCACCTGCATCTTTCATCCTCACAGGTTGCCATCAGACATGTACCAGCCTCAAAATATATTAGCACATCCCTGATTCATTTATAATATGTTCAACATTTCAATATTACATTTTGGATTGCACAAATACCTTGCATTTCAATGCTGCTGCCAGGCCACTTTGCCGCAGGGACAAACACCCTTCTCATGCAATGAGACAGGGTGCATCTTAGAACTTTTAGCTTTCTTTCTTAGAACATGGTCACTTTGTGTTTACTTGGATGCCCACTGCATCCCTGACTTGTCTTGTCTTTTCTCACATTGTCATCTCATTCATAACTTAGAGCCTCACAGTATATCTGCCATCTCTTGTTTTAGCATAGACACAGCTTTTCATGGTTGTCAGCAGTGATCAGTAAAGGGGTAGACATTTGCTGTGCAGCACCATGCTATGTAAATGTGACACCTAGGTAAGTACCAGCAGTTTATATGGCAAACGCACTGCATGCACTTCAACCTAATGGCTATGAGTCAAAGTCTAAGGGGAGCAGTCCTTAGTCAACCCTGGGGATCCCATCGCAGTCAGTCAAAGGCAACACCCAATCTTGGTCCAGAGACTTGGACACAGTCAGCTGCTTGGGGAGATCAGGGTCAGAGATTCGTGCTATTAGAGTCCACAAGTGGGCTACAGTTAGTCCTGCAAGTCCAGTGTAGCTAGTCAGGGATTAGTCATGCAACTGCACAGAGATCAGTCAGAGCTCAAGTTGCTAATCAGTCCAAGCTGTCAATCCACAGTAGTCAAGGGAGTGGGCCATAGTCAGTTCACTGAAGATCAAGGGGTGTTTCAGGGCCACTGCTACAGTGGACAAGTTGGAGAAATCAGTGGTGGGGATTGGAGGCAGTATACTAGGATGGAAAGGGGTCAATTGTTGTCATAGTTGTGGGCAAGTAAAAATAGAAGGGTAGTCATTGATGGTCATCAAAATCCTGGCTTCGGCAGGGGGACAGTCGATTATAATGGCTAGCACATGAGAAGAGATTCAGGAGACTGGATCCATATTCTCTAGCATTCAGAAGAATGAAAGGTGTTTGTAGTGAAACTTATAAAATTATTGAAGTGCTAGACAGGGTAGATACAGGAAGACGACGATAAGGATGGCAAATGCTAGAAGTTATAGTCAAAAAACGTGGAGCTGGAAAAGCACAACAGGTCAGATAGCATCAGAGGAGCAGGGAAGTCAACATTTTGGGTCAAAACCCTTTGTCAGGACGGAGGAGGGGGTGGGGAGTCCAGAAATAAATAGGCAGGGGTGGCACTGGGGGAGGGTAGGTGAGATGCAGATAGGTAGATGCAAGTAGAGGGTTACTGTGGTTGGTCAGTGGGAACAGTGAAGCAGATAGGTGCGCCAGAAGATGGACAGATTGGGGGAGGTGAGATTTTAAAGCTGGTGAAGTCAATATTCAGGCCATTGGGCTGTACGCTCCCAAGGCAAATTATGAGGTGTAGTTCCTCCAGTTTACATTTGGCCTCACTCTGACAGGGGAGAGGCCACGGATGGACATGTCACCAGGGGAGCGGGTGGGTGTGTTAAAGTGGATTGGAACCAGAAGGTCAAGATGGTTGGTGCGTGCAGAGCACAGAAGCTCCACAAACTGGTCCCTGAGTCTGCATTTGGTCTCCCCAATATAGAGGAGACCACATCAGCAGGATATTTCCCCTTGGTACAGATTTAGAACCAGAGACAGAGACACAGTTTCAGAATAAGGGCAAGCTATTTAGGACTGAGATGAGGAGGAGGAGGAATGAAGATAATTCAGGAAAGTGGCATTGAAATGGCACAATAGTATAGCAGATTCAAAGACTGAAGGGCCTGTTCCTGCTACTATATCTCTACCAGTCATTCAATAGACTATTAACACCTCATATTTACCATCTTTAAAACAGATCATCAAATGATCAAAATCAGCAAAGGTGAGATTGACAATTACCTTGTCTACCAAGCATGCAAGAAGAAACCTCCAGTAGCCTATTGATGAGTCTGGACCAGAATCCCATTGGAAAATATGGCATAGCATAAAGCCTTACTATCAATTCGGAGTTTTCACAATGTGGGAGTTCGATTACAGGTCTCTGATCAGGTAAGCTAAGAAAAATAAAAATGAATCAAAAGGCATGAGGTATGCTGTATAATCATATAAAATAAATTGTATTGAAAGTCATATTATAAAATAAAGCAATTGATAATGCAGTTGATTAATCATGATAGTTAACATTCAGAGTTTGGTTATAAATCTGGCTAAATCTTTTAAATATAGAAAACCATGGAGAGACGCATAATTTAATTCCTATGATTATAAACATCAACAAGATTTTTGGTTGCCCATCCTTTATTGGCTTTGAACTGAGTAGTTTGCTTGCCATTTCAGGTGACAGTTAAGAATCAATCACATCTCTGTGGGTCTGGAGTCACATGTAGACCAGAATAAATAAGGATGGCAGATTTCCTTGCCGAAAGGACCTCAGTAAACTGGATCTTTCAAAAATGACAATGAATGGTAGTTTCATAGTCACTATTACTGAGGCTAGCTTCAAATCCCAGATTTACCAACCGAATTTAAATCCGCCTGCTGTTCATGGTGGGATTTGAAACACTAATGCCAGAGTCTGGGCCTTTAGATTACTTGTCTAATAACATTATCGTTGTGCCATACTACAAAAAGCACATTAAAACTTCAACACTATTTGTAACTAAATGCAATCAATCACAGTGTACACATAATATAAAACTCCTTTTAACTTTCCAGTAATATTTACTTTTATTCCTGCAAAATGATGAACCAAACAACCACTATGAAAACCTGTGTCTTATTCCTCATAAATAACAAGGTGTAGAGCTGGATGAACACAGCAGGCCAAGCAGCTTCAGAGGAGCAGGAAAACTGACGTTTCGGGT